AGTGCGTAGACGGTGAATCCCTTCACTGACATAAAGGAATGGGCTCTGCAGTGGGGAAGGAGACACACAATATGCTCGAGTGACTGGAAGAGAAGAGAGCACAGGCCAGGCGGCTTTCACCTCTCAAAATCAGCTTCCGGGGCCAGCACTGAAGCATAGTGGGTAGAGCCGCCGCCTGCAGCACCGGCATCCCATATGGGTGCCAGTTCGAGTCCCAACTGCTCCACTTCCAATTCAGCTCTCTGCTATGGCCTGGGAAAGCAGTGGAGAATGGCCCAAGTCCTTGGGCCCCTGCACCCACGTGGGAGACATGGAGGAAAATCCGGGCTCCCGGCTTCAGATGGGCAAGCTCCGGATGTTTGCAGTCATCTGGGGAGTGAACCAGAGATGGAAGACCTTTCTCTATCTCTCTCTCTGTCTCTCTCTCTCTACCTCTGCCTCTGTCTCTCTGTAATTCTGCCTTCCAGATAAATAAATAAATAAATAAATAAGTTTTTTTATTTTAAAAAAGACTCTTACAAATAAAAAAAAATTCAGCTTCTCCTCATTTGTACCTCCAGGTGACACGTTCAGGCACACCTGTGCTTTGATAGAAATTGGGAACATATATGTGGTGTCTTCAAGAAATTCATGGGAAGTTCACAGTATGAGAAAACTTTAGATTTCAAAAAATTTCTGTACCAAGATAAACTGATCTTTCGTGTTTGTTCATTTTATGAGACAGAGAAACAGAGATAGAGCTCATCCAATGGCTCACTCCCCTAATGCCCACAACGGCCAGGGCTGGGCTGTCAAAGCGTGGAGCCTGGAATGCAATTCAGCTCTCCTTTGAGCCGGCACCTGTTGCCTCCCAGGGTGCACATCTTCAGGAAGCTGGAGTCAGGAGGTGGATCTGGGAATCCACCCGAGGTCCTCCCGTGTCGGTGTGAGCATCTTGAGCACTAGGCCAGACACCTGCCTCGAAGCCTGTCTTTTAATTCAGTTTTCTCATGAACTCTCTGAAGTTCCTTCATCTGCGGTAGTGAGGAAGGTGCATTCCTGAATGTGGGAGGAGCAAGCAGGTCGTCTTTGTCTAAGAATTTCAGTGCAGGCTCACTTCCGCCACTGGGATCTGTTACTCAGCTCCAGTCCTGGACAGCAGCTCCTAACCTTATCCTCCCTTTGTCACTTCACTTTTCAAAATGTGGGCAGACAGATATTCTTTAATTCACAGAGCTTTTCAAATGCTAGCATCTCATAAGGGAGACCGATGAGCATTCCTGACAACTGGGAAAGGCAGAGCTGGGCTTCTGAGGAGGTGCACCAGGAACTCGGGTGGTGGCAGCTGTTGGCTTACTGCTTGGACAGACACTTTAGTAGGAAGAAGACTTACTGTTTTGGTAACTTAAAGCAAACACATAATGGAGTTCCTTCCTGCTTCATCAGTAATGACCAAGAGTTAGAGCCGCAAAGCGCTGTCAGTGTCTTCGTAGTGAGTTCTGTGAGGAAGTGGTTCCAGTTCACTCATGAGGGTTCTGTCAGTCCTGGAGTTAGGAGGGGTTTGCACTGCTGAACCCCCTTCTTCATGGTGAAGGAGAGTGGCTCGCCCCGCGCCCACCCTGCCGTAGGACAATGGGCCTCTGCCTGCTCTTGCCAGCGGTTTTCTGGAAAGCCAGGCGCACACGTCTTAATGGTCCAGGTCACACCTGCCCTGGGGCAGTTGCTGATGCTTCCCAGATGTTGGGCTGTGGCCACTGCCTCCCTCCTGACTCTTTGCTGCTGCCCCTGCTGCTTAAGACACCAGCTGCTGGGACATGGCCTGAGATGGGTTGGTGGGTCTCCTCAGAGAGGCAGGACAGCTGGCGGCCAGGCACCAGCTGGAAGGGAGGCGGACTCTGGGCTGGCAGCAGGCTGTGGCTTTGGTGTCATTCCGCAGTCCCCGTTCATTCCAGCGCCTGGTGCGGGGAAGGTGATGAATACGTATTTGTTGACTGGCTGCTGAATGAGTTACAGCATTATTTATTCCTTCTAAAACATGAGAAAGAACCCAAATATCTGTCAATATGGAGTGATGTATCCAGAGAAATCCCAGGCAGCCCTTACAAAGAGCAAGGTGTGTGTTGGTACTGACAAATGGGAAAAACAGGTTATAAAACAATCTCGTTCATCAAAAAATAAATAAAAGTATACACGCACAGAGGACAGACATGCCCTCCCAGGTATTCGGCACACATACCCACCTGTCAGAATTAGTTGTGAGAGAGGGATGGATGTAACAGAGGACCACCACTTTCCATGTTGTATAATTCTGTGATGTTAGAATTTTTCACAAACTACATTATATTTGAAACAAACAAAACGAAAGATTCTTAAGAAACAGATTTCAAAGAAATCAGAATGTTGACAAAATTGAAAGTTTAGATTCTAAGACTAGCCTCTATGGGTCATTGTAAGAACTCTAAGGAAAAGGGAGAACTTTGTGCTTTTGTATGTTCTTCCACCTGGTACCTTCTAGGTCTCCTGGCAGCCAAAAAGAAAGGGAGAGGGTTGGTGACAGCAACCACACACCACACTTCTTCCGTCCCCCTTTCCACAACACAGATCTGCTGCACATGGTCTAGCTGTTTTGGAAAATTCTTCAAGAAACATCTAATGCCTGTGAAAATGTGCTTTGTAATCAGTGATAAGCTTTTTCTTAATACACACCTGGCTTCTAAGAAAAGAAGTCCCTAACCAGAGGCACCGATGCCGTTGGTGGGCAGCGTCCTGCAGGCCGTCCTCTCAGGTGCTGGCTCTGGGCACCTCTTTCCTTCCTTGCAGCATCCCAGTTCACTCTGAGAGTGAGTCAAGTAGCTGTAGGCTGAGACTCGCCCAACCAGGGCAATAAAGAGAAAAATTAGTCTAATGCATGGTCTTAACAAGAGGGAGAGTGTGAGCATGAATAATTAATCTCGCTAGTCTGTGGCAATCAGATAAAATGAAGTCCCATTTGCTCAACCTTATTAAAAGAGAGAGAGAGCGCAGGCGGGCGGGAGGAGCAGTAAAGGTCGTTAAGGGACTTGAACCATGGAAAGAGCCGCCTTGGAGATGGGAATGTGTTTTCTAGTCTCTGTGGTCTTTAACTAAACCGAATGCTAGAGGTGATTTTCAGATGGCTCCGGCTTGGTGAATTATTAACCATTTCAGAAGACTCAACTCAGGACAACGAACTTAAAAGTCTTTCTGATGAGTCTGCAGAAAGTCTTGTCAGCAAGGGATTCCATCTCCTAAGTCCCTCAGAAGGGACGCAGACGTGTGCACTGACTCAGGGTCAGGTGCAGTGTTCATGTTCACCGTGGGCGAGCTACTGCTGTGAGGCCTCTCCTGAAAACAAAACGCTCAGCACTGTGTGATGATGAGCGGGTGCAGAATATGACTGGTACAGTAGATCAGGAGGCTGCTGTTAATTTTTTCTACTTCCAGGACCCAATTTTATGTAATTTTTATGTTGCACGCTCAAAATAGATTTCATTATTTCTAAATTATACTTGGAATAATTTATTCTTTGATATTTTAGAATTGTTGAAGTTTTCTGAGTTAGAATCTCATATTTTCAGCTACATCTGTTCTTATCTTTCTGGCTTAAGAAGACATTTTAAATTTTGAAATTGCTCTTTCGGATGCTATCAGCAATAGTTAATAGTCTGGTATGTTTTTGCTATTACTTGTTTGAAATATGTGTTAACAGTGAGGTTGGTAGCTTTCAAGGCAGACACTGCTGAATTTATTACTAACTTTCATTACCAAAATAAAAATCCACGTGCTGCTAAGTGGTAACTCCGCGTGCTAAGGAGAGAGAAAGCCGATCACCTCCATGTGTGTTGAAGGGGATTTCTCCAACACAGGCACATTCACACCTCTGAGCGCAGTGATTAAGATGAGCCCTAACCACATGGTCAACAGGGTAGACTGTGTGTGTGTGTGTGTGTGTGTGTATGTGGGCCCTAACCACATGGTCAACAGGGTAGACTGTGTGTGTGTGTGTGTGTGTGTGTATGTGGGCCCTAACCACATGGTCAACAGGGTAGACTGTGTGTGTGTGTGTGTGTGTGTGTATGTATGTGGACCCTAACCACATGGTCAACAGGGTAGACTCTGTGTGTGTGTGTGTGTGTGTGTGTGTGTATGTGGGCCCTAACCACATGGTCAACAGGGTAGACTCTGTGTGTGTGTGGGTGGGTGTGTGTGGGTGTGTGTGGGCCTTAACCACATGATCAACAGGGTAGACTGTGGGTGTGGGTGTGGGTGTGGGTGTGAACAAGGAGGCTTAGGCAGTGTGAATTCAAGGACAAGGACTGTATCCTGGGTACCTACAACAGTGATCCACAGCAGGCAGTTAATGCTAATTGGATTAAATGGAAGTGAATGAGATTTTTTATTTTAGTTAAGACCTAAGGAGTCTTTCTGAAGATCATCATAATCATCCTTGTATTCGCTCCTTTTGCTGGAGAAAAGGAATGGGAGTGTTCTCTAGAGCTCAAGGGTTCCTTCGTGTTGCCTTGTACACCGTGTGGAGCAGAGCAAGTGGAGAGGGACTGAAGGGAGAAGTGTTTGGGAAGAAGGACTCCTCCGAGGGTTAACTCTACAAGCTCCATCTTCCTGGATCCTCGTACCTTCTGTGGTCTAAGTACAGGAAGACAGCTCATGGCACGTGGCCTGCAAACCGCCCGATTCCTTGTTAGCTCTTCCATCAAGTCCAGATTGGAAGCAGGCCGTGACCTGTAGTTTCCATTAAGATTCCCAAGTTCCCCATCCAGCGTGTTCCTTCAGATCCTGTGAGTTTCTTTGCACCTTGGCCTGAGGAACTCTGAATTTTCTCTGCTTTTTTCTCCATTTCCTTTTGTCATTCTGGTTGTCATGCACCTATGCCATCAAGAACTAGCTGCATGCAGGATGTTCGTTTGATGGGGTCCGGCCCCAGGGCGGTGGTGAGAAGAGAGTGTGTGGAATTGTGCACCCACGTGTTTCTCTCCCGCTGCTAGATCCTGGTGTACAGCCTGGAAGCAGAACGCTGCCTCTCGAAGCTGGGAAATGCCCTCGGCGACTTCACGTGCGTCAACCTCAGGGACAGCCCTCCCAGCCTCATGGTCAGCGGCAACATGGACAGGAGGTAGGTCTGAGTTGAAGACAATGCTTGTTAATTGTCCACTGCTCATGTTCCTGGTTCTCGCTGTCCAGCTCTGCCTCCCTGAGGTCAGCCCTGACCCCATCGACACTCTGGACTTGGAGAAGAGTGTCTCACATTAGGAATCGTTGGATGTGGCGTGTCCCTGCTTCATTTGCGAAGCACCCCAGGAAGGGCTTCGTGGGAGCCAGTTGGTGGTCACAGTTGGTGGAAGGCCCAGGGAGGCCACTTGGAATATCTCTGTCCCCCTGCTGCAAAATCTGCTTGGCGTTTAAAAGCTCACTTTCTAATATTAAAAACAATAACCTAAGGGATGAATCATGTTCCGCAAAATAGGCCTGCCTGCCAAATGATGTCAGGAGTGTGTTTCAGAACACCATGGCGTCCCTCTGGAGTGGGGGAAGAGCGGCTCCGTACGAGCAGATTCCAGTTTCTATTTAGCTGATTAGCAGGCTTCTCTTGAACGCCCTGGCGCAGGGAGTTGGATTTTCCCTGTGCAGAATCTGGTGCCAGCCACGGACGCTCCAGGAACCATCAGCACGAAAGGATTAAAGTGTTTGAAAAGACCCGCAGTTTCCAAATTTTAGGTTTCTCCTCCTCACCGCCCCCGCTCCGCCTTGCCTTTTCCTTTTCTTTCGGCTTTTTTTTTTCTTTTTCCTGGCAGTTATCTGCTGTGTCTGATCCAGTGCCCTGAAGAGAGGTAGCGTGGCTGGAGGCCAGGGTCTGCCGGCGCCCGCTCCCCTGGGCCCGGCCCCGGGCTGCAGGTGGTGGCTGCTCGGTGGTGGGTATCACATCATGAGGCGGGAACTCCTCTGTGCCAAATCCCAGAGCGTGGTCCCGCCAGTGCAGCAGCTTGCAAAAACAATTATTTTATCAAATAATATTTTCAACTCCTGACCTTTACCCCTCTATCTACCCACCCCCCACTTAGCATGGCAAGATAATAAGAGTGCGCTTTAGTGGGGGGAAAGAAAGCCCTAGGATGACTGAGCCGCTGCTGCCTGCAGACTGTGTGTGTGTCCAGGCAGTTTTTCTCTTAAGATAGTGACGCCTGATCCATGCCCCCCTCCACGTGTCTCAGCAGGGGGCTCAGTGTGTGGGTTTCAGCTTGCAGACGGCCCACTGCCCACTGCCCAGGCTGCGGGCTCATCTGACAGGATCTCTAGGTTCGGAGTTCACTTGCGGAGTGCCTTGTTTTCCTGGAGAGCGAATGCAGAGGCCTCTCTGGGGACAGCCAGATGGAAAAGTTGGGGATTGCAGGTTGTGCCTCAGGGCTTGTTTGCAGTCAGCACTTAGGTGTTCAACCACAGGTGGGCGGGCTCATGGCAACCAGAGCTGTGTTCTAGAGAAGACACACACATACACCCGGCCTCTGCGTACACACACACACACACACACACCCGGCCTCTGCGTATACACACACACACACCCGACCTCTGCGTATACACACACACACACACACACACACACACACACCCGGCCTCTACGTGCTGCATCACACAGCCCTGTCAGCTCCAGACACAGAAGCACCAATGTCACGGCCACTGTCGGCTCCTGGCCATGCTGTCTGGAGAGCTGTATACAGGATCTTCAAAAAGGCCATAGACTGCAATTAAAAGATGTTTACTGTAGTGCAAAATATTCCTGAAATCCATGTATACAAGGAGTCTTCAACAGGTCATGGGAAATACATTTTATGAAAAAAGATGGATTTCAAAAAAACAGCGCCAAAATAAACTTATTTTTAATAACTCCATTTTCTGTGACCTTTTTGATATACACTTGTGCCCTCAGGAAAGCTGACTTTTCCCTCTGGAGCAAGGCTACCTAATTATGCAGCCATTGCCAGAGGAGCCGAAGGCCCTGTGTACAAGGCCTCTGCGGGACGTGTGTAATCCCCATGTGACCGTAGCAGCCCATGTGGCCAGGAAGCCAGCCATGCAGTTCATGTAAACCCTCTGTCTCCAGATGAGAAGGAGACCAGTCCAGTGTTGGGGGTGGCGTTTACTCGAGCTCGTCCTGGCACCACACATCAGCTCCGTGACCACCGCAGGCTGGGACGTGACGGCCAGCCCGGGAGTGTAGGAACATGCCGGGAGTCAGGATATGTTTGAGAAGCAGGGGTTAAAGATCTGTTGTTGGTTTTTTTTTTTTAATAATCAAAATTACACATCTGGAAAAAGGAAGGAGTGAAGAATCTAGACTTCTAAATGTGGAGAAGTCTTGTCTTTTTTCCCCCAAAGGCTTAATAGCTGTGAGTGCAGTCTCCTTAGAGATGCACACCAGGCTTGCACAGCTCAGATTTTATTTCATGAGTGGGAGTGAGGGGTCAAGTCCTGTGAGGAGAACTGTGTCCTTGGCTGTCACTTAGTGACTGATGCAATTTTTAAAAACCCTGGAACCTCCCTAGTTTATTTAAAAACTTAATTTCCACTGCATTCTCTTGGTACTTTATAAATAACTTGAGAATGAAATGGACTCTGAAGATACATAAAACTATCCAGGCTAAGATAGAAATAAAGTAACTTTTCATGAAGGTAGGGAAATCAGTGTGAGTAGTTTGTAGACATGGGTGGAATTTTGTGAGGAGTTTTATTGGGAGCGGGTGGACAGGCTTAAATTAAAAATGAAAAAATACCTAGCCTGCTACCCTTTCCAGAAAAAAGGCAGAGTAAAAGTGATGAAGAGCCGGCGCCGCGGCTCACTAGGCTAATCCTCTGCCTGCGGCACCGGCACACCGGGTTCTAGTCCCGGTCGGGGCGCCGGATTCTGTCCCGGTTGCCCCTCTTCCAGGCCAGCTCTCTGCTGTGGCCAGGGAGTGCAGTGGAGGATGGCCCAAGTACTTGGGCCCTGAACCCCATGGGAGACCAGGATTAAGTACCTGGCTCCTGCCATCGGATCAGCGCGGTGTGCCGGCCGCAGTGCGCCGGCCGCGGTGGCCATTGGAGGGTGAACCAACGGCAAAAGGAAGACCTTTCTCTCTGTCTCTCTCTCTCACTGTCCACTCTGCCTGTCAAAAAAAAAAAAAAAAAGTGATGAAGAAAGAGGGGATGATTGGGACAGAAACAGCGTTGTTCAGCTGTGCCTCTCCCTGCTGGGACGGAGGCTCTCAAGGGAGGAGAGCCGGGCAGTTTGTCCGTGTGGCTCCCTGGGGCTCTGTCCTTTATTGCCACGTCTTTTGAGTGCTGTCAGAGGAGAGGGCTGCACAGCAGGTGTCAGGGCTGGGTGGAGGCTCTGCTCTGTCCAGGGCTGTGTTCGTGCCGATGAAGACACGGTTGTTTAGTGAACGTTGTCACGTCTTTGAAATCAGGACATGCCTGTTAGGAAGCCGTCTTAAAATTGCCAGCATTTTAAATGATACATAAAATGCTGGTCCTGCTTATAATCAATGGTGTTTTCAATTAAACAAACGTATATGTTTGTTCACTGAAGTCAAACATGAGTTAGTAACTTAGGAATTAAGATGTTTGTAAGGAACTTGAACGAGTTACCAAGAAAAAGTCTGCAGGAAAATCACTCTTTTTGTTTTGTTAAAACTTTGGAATTCATTGAATTTAGAACCTGCAAATTCACACCTTCCACCACACTGGGACCTTTTGGCCATTTCTCCTTGCTGTGCATTCGCTGCGCACTCTGGTCTCCTGGGCCTGCCTTCTTGGCAGCGTCAGGCCTTTTGATAGTAGCCATGAGGTCACTGTGTCGTGACCATTCTTCCTGTTCTTCAGAACACACGCTTCCTGCTGATCACACTTCAGCCTCACAGCTGTCCCCGACTGTCCCCGCCGCCGTCTCCACGCTGGCCACTGAACCCGTCCAGTGAGGTTTTTCTTTCAGGTTTTATATTTTGGGGTTCAGCATTTCCATTCAGTTGTTCTGTTTTGTTGTTTGTAGCTTTGGCTTCTCTGCTGAGGAGGTCACTCTTCCTGCTCATTTTATCTTTGCCTTGTGGAATGTAGTTACAGTAGATACTTTAAAGCCCTTGGCGAGTCCCAAAATCTGGGCTACTTTAGGGTTGGATCACATTTCCTGTTTTGTTTTTGGTTGTCAAGTAATGTTCTGTCGTGTCCTGGACACTGAGATGTGACGATGTGTATACTTCAGACCCTGTTTTCATGGTCATCCAAAGTTTGAAAGTTGATTTTTTTTTTTTTTTTAATTCTTACGCAGATGTCACCCTGGTTAGGTTCAGGTGTCAAATTCTGCCTTTCCTTGGGTGATGACTCCCGTAGCAGTTCACTTTAACAGCCTTTCTGTGCTGTTTTCTTCTGTGTGCATACGCCGCACGGGGTAGGAGGGGACTGGGCACTGGTCAACTCCGCGTGCTCACGGCCTCTGCTGGGCCTCTTTGGGTGCATCCTGCACAGCCCAGGGAGGAGCCTGGGGTTCCTGCCCAGTGTTAGGGGATCTCGTCCTTCACGTTTTTCCTTTCTTTCTCAATCCCTGTGCTTTCCAGCCTTCAGGAAGGGGATCTTCTCCCTGGCCCTTTGGTCAGGAAGATGGGGTTCCAGTTGTGACTTCCTGCACCACCGCATGGTTCTGCTCTTGAAGCTCTTAATCGGGGCCAAGCTGCAGGAGGGAAAGGGGGAATGAGCAACCCCTCCCCTGTGCAGTACTGCCGTGGTTTGAGCCTCCTTCTAATCCAGCAGCTTGGGCTCGTCAGGTATGTGGTTTTGTCTCTTGTCCACAGGTTTTGGTGGTAGTCAGAAGGAAGAGGCAGTAGTGGGCTTACTCTGTCCAGGCCAGGGTCAGTCAGAACTAACTACCTTCCTTCCTTTCCTTTCCTTTTCCTCTCTTCCTTCCCTTTTTTTTTTTTTTTTTTTTTTAAGATTTATTCATCTATTTGAAAGCGTTACAGAGAGGCAGAGAGAGAGAGAGAGAGGTCTTCATCTGCCAGTCTACTCCCCAGATGGCCGCAGCAGGTGGAGCCAGGAGCTTTCTGCAGGTCTCCATGCAGGTGGGGCCCAAGCACCTGGCCCGTCCTCTGC